TTTTAGAAATTTAACTTCTTATCCAATTTAATTTTTATTTATTATATTTATTTATAAATGAAATTTTACTAATTTTTAAATAATTATTAATAATTAAAAATAATTTTATACCACAATATAAATCATTTATTATAAATCTAAAACATAATTTATATGTTTAAAATATATAATTATACAAATTTTAAATATAATTTATATATCTAAATATAGTATTAATTGTATATATAATTTATTATAATAAACATTTAACATGTGCTTTACACAAGTTAAAATATTAAACGTAGATAATTATAGAGTGTTTTTAGAAACTATTATTCAACCATGACATTTTTAGATATTTTTTTAACTTCTTATGAAACTCAATTTTATATTTATCATATTTATTTATGAATTAAAATTTAATATTTTTAAAAAATAAATTAACAATAATTAAATGTAATCTTACTTCAAAATATAAATTATTTATCTTAAATAAAAAATATAATTTATATGTTTCAAAATATATATTTATACAATTTTTTAATATAATTTATATATTTAAATATAATATTTATTTGTATATATAATTTATTATAAAATAATCATTTAACCTATAATATGTATACTAAAATAATAGTTAGATAATAAATTGTTTATTTAATATGAAAAATATAAAAAGATAGTTATGTCTTATAAAAGTGGTTGTGAAGGAGAATATATGGTTTACAAATCAAATAATTATCCATATATATATATATATGATATAAATTTCCTTAATATTTTCATAAAGTATTTGTTTATAGGTTCTTCACGCTTAATTCTTAGTATTTATTTTGAAAAGAAATCAATGAAATAGATTATCATACTTATTTGAATATAAAATATTGTTATTATTAAATACTAAAATTTAGAACTAGAAGTTTAATAATACAAAAATTTGACTTTTTCATATTTATTTATAGTGATTAAAATTGTCCTGTTAATCAATTTTATTAAATTCAAATAGAACTATTTAATTTGAATTTGATTGGTTCAATAAAAAAATTGCAATCATAATCGATCATTTGATTTGATTAGTATTTTGAATATGCATCTAATATATATTAATATATAATGGGGATATCTCTTTTAATAATTATCTTGATTTTCATATTTTATTGATTATTATATCTTTTTATTTTTCAAAAATTTTAAAAAAATTAATAAATTAATCATAATACTAATTAAATTATTATAATTTTATTACGTAATTTTTATTTTATTTTATTTTTAATTGAGGCACTCGTACCACTAGTTTGTATGATTTAGTTATGATTTATGCTCAACGAGTAAAAACGATGACTCGAACCGATGTAAGAGAACTTGAGTCACTCTTATTTTAAGAGTTGTGGACACTATCCAATCACACCGCACATTACACCAAAGGAGCTAATTGATTTTCATGACAATTTGAATTTGTATATTATATATATATATATATGTGTAAATATAATAATTTACACAAAATTTTATCCTTTAACAATTTTTTTTATATTACAAATTTAACTCATCTAACAATTAAATTATGTGATATTATATTCAATATCATGTATATCAAATTTCATATTTTTAAAATTATTTAGTAGTTCATCGCATTATTTTATTTTATTGTATAATATGATATTTTAAAATATTTATTTTTGGATAACAAATATAAAAAAAAGTTTAAATATAAACTAACATTTTAGTCCATCATATTAAAAATCTAAAAACATTTATTGATGTAGCGCTAATGGAGTGACATGATGTATTAATATTTTTAGTTATCTTTCTTTTAATATATTTATATTTTTGTAAAAGTATATTTATACATACTAATTTATATTTATGAAGCTATTAATTTATCTACAAATATACTAATAATATTATTGATATTAATTTAGCAATATTAATAATATATAAGTCTTTTTATTTAGTAATAATAAATAGATATCATTTGATACACGACTGAAATCATAATATATATAATTTAAATAGGTCAACAATTGTAAGATTTTAAAACATTATATGTATATATATATATATATATGTATAATTTTAAAATTATTTCATTTTTAATAGGAGGGAATAAAATTGTATAATTGCAATACTTGAGGGACTAAAATTGCTTAATTAAAACTTATAGGACCAAAATGACACAATTGCAATATTTGAAGAATTAAAATTGTTTAATTAAAACTTTGGGAACTAAAAATGTACAATTGCAATACTTAAAGATAAAAAATGTATTAAAGTCAAAATTGTGAGAGTTTCTTTAAAGTGTCACGAATCAAATTCTAATTCTTTTAAATATAGAAAATCCAAGATTGGAGAAAATGTAAACCTATTCAATATTTGTCAAATCCTTGAGAGATTAGGGATACTCTTTAGTGATGGACAAAAAGAAAAACACAATAAAGTTAAATAATTAATTCCCAACTTCTAAAATTAAAAAGTATAACAACTTAAAGTCCATATCTCAAGTAATCGAACAAAGTAATTAAACATACAAATTGATACTCTATTAGTGAACTAATATATTTACATTATAGAAAGATTATAGGCCTTTCTAAGTGTTGTTCCAAATTTTATAATTTTTTAGCACAAAAAATTGGAATTTTGCATTAGGCAACACTTGATCTTAAATCCTTTAGGAGTTAAGAGATAGCAACAAATATCACTACACCAACCATGTTTTGTTGAAAACATATGACAAAAATAAATTCTATAGAATATTGTCAATATATATATATATATATATATATATGTGTGTGTGTGTGTGTGTGTGTTTAATAATATACTGATCTATGCATTTAACTAGTGACCTACCAATTCAACTAGTGGCTCAGTAATATAACACTTTGACCAAATCAATCACTAGTCAAATTCTAATAACACTAAATTTAGGTGAATAAATTATATTAGATTAAGGAAATTAAAAGCATAAAGACCCTAATCAAATGATTAGATAAACCTAGTCATATGTGACACTATAAAAGCAATGCTTTTTTCTCCTCCTTATCTTAATTAGTATTAGACTCCTTTCTCCTAATTCCTAGAGAGAGAATCTTTTTCTTTTGCTTATGAAGCTCAAGCTAAACCCTCATCCTAACCCCTTTTTCACTCTTTCTTTCTCTCTCTCTCTCTCAACCAAAGGGAGCATTGTAAGGAAACATGTGACACTCATCACTACATAACTATTTCTCAATTAAATAAAATTATCATTATAACATATTGAAAAAAAACATTTTTAGAATATATGTGAAACTCATTACTTTCTAGAAAAAATTATGAGGAAAACAATTCACATTGTCTGCATTTTGATAACTCAATTTGTACTAAAAGCAAAAATAAAACAATTGACACTCCAATTGCATAAATTTCAAAAAAAGTAATTGTAACAAAATACTTTAAAAACTAACTAAAACTATGTCTTGATGTCTTAATTATCATAGCTTGCAACCTAAAGTAACTTAAATAATTGAAAATAAAATCCAAGTTCGTGATTAAGTTTCAAATAAACATCACCAACAAATGGTGTTTAGTTAAACAAATGCAAAAAATAACATACAGAGTGAGAACATATTCTTGCTTTGGCTCAAAGTATAACATGAATAATACATAAAACACACACACACACACACAAACACATGAGTTTGGTAATGTACTCACACCTCTTTTTAAGTTGGAATACATTAACAACTACACCAAAATTTCAAGACAAATAACCTATCTTTTTCATTATGTTTTAATTAATTTATGAATGATGAGGATCATATAGTTATTAGAATATATTTTTTTAAAAAAATAAAATATTTTTTTCTCTCCTCGATTCTCCCTTATTTAACTATTTTCTCTATCTTTTTTCATTTCTAATGTTGCTAGTCTTTTTCAACTCCTTGGGCCACCTTTTTCACCATCCTTTTGTAGGCAACAATCATCCTATGTCTTTTTTGAGTGGATTTCTTTCCAAATTTTCACTTTCACATAATTAAATGGATTGATTTTATTTGTTGTTGCATGCCACATTCACACGATGACTTTTCTATATCAAGACATCTACTATCAAAGGAATCAAATGTTTATTAAATTGGGAGATGTTAGGTTCCAATTACAGTGATTGTTTTATATTTCTTTGGCATCTGAGAGCATCCACTTTGTAAAAAGGGATAGGAGGGAATTAAAAACTGCCAACATTTTCCTTTCTAATTTAGTTATACTCACTTAGTTTAATAGAAAAATATATCACTTGTTAAAAATAAAATACAAATAGTACTTTGTGACACTCTCTACCCCAACATACATATACAATAATTATAAAAATAAAAAAAAAATTCATCATTAAAAAATCAAATTTCCAATCACGTAAGGGTAAAGAGTTCATATTCATAAACTTAATCCAACACATCTTAAACGCTTTCATAATAAAGTAAATTAAATATCAAGGTAATTTAAATAAATAAATAACTATATCCAAAATCATAAATTAATATCATAAGAAATCCAAATCACAAAATAAAGTGTACTAATCTATCTCATGGTGTCACATATCCTAATCAGAGCTTCCCGCCTAAGCATCATCATGGAATTCATCAGCATTAGTTTGAAAGTCACCTGCAAGCATAAATGGAAACACATACAAGAACAAACAAAGGAATGAGAAACGTCTCACTTGGTTCAGGTGCAAAAACAACTATCAGATAAGACACACACAAAGCAATCACAAACAAGGCACATATACAAGCCATACATAAACCAGTAACACATGCACAATCACTTATCATGTAATGATGTCATGAACATGACTAAAAAATGCATGCATGTGGTGTTAGTCATGTATCTTATAATCACATATCACGTGGTATGCTGCTGAAGCAACACACCTGGAGCAGTCTAGGAGTACATGTAGGCTCAACTGTGCACTCTCAACTAGAAGGATGTATTGTTAAGGTCTCGTCAAGATAGCGAAGTCACGCAAGATACGTCCCATTGATATTTATTTAATGCTAAATTTCCTCATATCATTTTGATGACCGATTCTTTTGTGACTTTTAACCTACAGAATTACATTGCAAAAATCACAGATTTTGGGTTGGCTAAATTGGGGCCTGCTGGGGGACAATCACATGTAACTACCAGGGTCATTGGCACGTATGGTTATGCTGCTCCAGAATTTGTGGCAACAGGTAAATAATATATCTGCACATATTTGGCAATTAAATCAACTTTAAATGTATGTTTTGACTTTATTATTATCTCACAAGGCAAAATGTTAGCCAATATTACATGCTTTGCAAGTAAGAAGGAAATGGAAGCAAAGTAAATGAAAAAACAAAAGGTCTGTTTGATTTGAGAAGAGGTTTTTCATCTTCATTTCCTGTTTCCATATATAATTACTAAAATGCCATACCATATGGTTTCTTGATTTGAAATACTTGTACAAGAAACAGTTAAAACAAGATTTGTGTTGTTTTCACTCTTTCTGAAAATAGGAAACAGAGTTAAAACAAAGCAACATATCGACTTTTTTTGTAATTATCAATAAAAACAGGAAATGAAATCAGACAGTTTTCTTAAACAAAGCTGGCCTTACTATAATACTAAAACAATGATTTATGGAAGATGAAGTTGGGGCAATCAAGACTAAAATAAGGAGTACTGTAGTTTAATCCTTTGACCCACCAAAAACTAACATGGCTTTGAAATGTATCAATATTCAACAGGGCACTTGTATGTGAAGAGTGATGTGTATGGATTTGGTGTAGTGCTGCTAGAAATGCTGACAGGCAAGCAGGCACTTGACACAGATCGGCCAACAGGCAAGCACAACCTAGTTAAATGGGCAAAGCCTTTTCTTTTCTCCAAAGGAAAGTTGAAAACCATTATGGATGCTATGATAGAAGATCAATATTCACCCAAGGCAGCATGGCAAGCAGCACAACTTACTCTAAAATGCCTAAAACCTAACCCTAACTTCCGTCCTTCTATGAAAGATGTACTTGAGGAATTGGAAGTCATTGAAGCTATCCTTGAAAAAAAATTGAAGGTGTTTAGTTATGCGGATCTGAAATCTGCAACAAAGAATTTTAGGCATGACACAGTGGTTGGTGAGGGTGGTTTTGGCATTGTCTACAAGGGATGGCTGGATGAGAAGACCCTAACCCCTGTGAGGGCAGGTTTTGGAAAGGTCGTTGCCATAAAAAAGTTGAAACCCGACAGCATGCAAGGGATTTTAGAGTGGCAGGTCATGTACAACAGACCTTAGCCTAACATTTATGGTGAAAACATGCATATATTTTCACAATTAAAGAATCATATTAAAAAATTAATAATAAAAAGACTAAAAGAGTAATACCAAAACATAACTAGACATTTTTTTTTGGCTAAATGTTTATCATTTTATCATGTTGTGCTGTTTACTTATCATATTGCATTTAATATTCTTGTGTAACCTTCAAGACAATTAGAGTACCTTCCATGTGATAAGTCCTACTTTTTGCACAAATTCAGTATAGCTAGCTGTCTGATTATTTAACATAGTTTTCCGTTGATTGTAAAATGCAGTCAGAAGTATACTTTTTAGGAATGCTTTCTCACCCCAACCTGGTCAAGCTATTGGGTTACTGCAGGGATGATGATGATAAGCTTCTTCTTGTGTACGAGTTCATGCCTAAGGGAAGCTTAAACAATCATCTATTTAGAAGTATGAATTAATGACAATAAAAATAGTGAAGGAAAACTCCATGTCACAAATTTGAGTTTAATTCATTTTCTTTGTTGTGTTTCTGAGCAGGAAATCCTAACTTAGAACCACTTTCATGGAACACCAGGCTTAAAATAGCTATTGGTGCAGCTCGGGCTCTAGCTTTCTTGCATGCCTCTGAAAAACAAGTCATATACAGAGATTTCAAGGCTTCACATATACTACTCGATAGGGTCAGTTTCTTTTGTTGGTTGATTTCTTCCAATGGAAGCAGTTGTTTTTTTTTGTTAGTCCTTTTTCCTTTGTTTCAAATTTCAATTGATGGAAGCTAAAGCAAATTTAATGAGCTTGCTTGCATATAAGCTTATTAGAAGAGCTTGAAAGTTTTTCTAATGAAAATGTCTTTATTTTTGGTAGAGAAACTTTCAAAATTGTTTGTATCTAAATAGGTTCAATATCACATTAGGATGAATAGACAGTTTATGAAATTTGACCCCATTAACCAAGTTCGTATTGAAAAGGTATGAAAACTTATTCTGTTAATACAATATCAATTGAAAAGTGCAATGTCTTTGTTCTCCTTGTCTCTTTTTTAAGTGTTGTCAATACAGGACCCATTGACTAGTTTAAGCATGTTACATGATGTTATTAATGCACAATATTTTTTAAGTAACAAAAATTGATATTTTATTTAATGCTAAATTTCTCATCATTTTGAAGACCGATTATTTTGTCCTACAGAATTATAATGCAAAAATCTCAGATTTTGGCTTGGCTAAATTGGGGCCTTATGAAGGACAATCACACGTAACTACCAGGGTCATGGGCACGTCTGGTTATGCTGCTCCAGAATATGTGGCAACAGGTAAATAATATATCTGCACATAATTGACAATTAAATCAGCTTTAAATGTATGGTTTGACTTTATTAATTACTCACCAGGCATAATACGAGTCAAGTTTAGATGCTATGTCAAGTAAGAAGGAAGTGAAAGTAAAATGTAGCGAAAAATGATTTGTTTGGTTTGAGAAAATGTTTTTTGTTTTCATTTACTATTTTCACATATAATTACAAAAATGTCACTTGGCTTGACTTCTTGATCTCAAAGATTTGTACAGAAAATTTTTCATTATTACTGAAACTAAGAAATTAAGTGAAAAAGGACCTCAATGAAAACAAACCTTTATTAATTTTGAACCAAAACAGAAAGTTTCCTTAAAGATAAGCAATAGTGTAGGCTAATACTTTGACCATGCACAAACTAAAACGTCTTTGAATATTTCAACAGGGCACTTGTATGTGAAAAGTGATGTTTATGGGTTTGGTGTAGTGCTGCTTGAAATGCTGACAAGCATGAGGGCAATTGACGCAAATCGCCCAACAGGGCAGCATAACCTAGTTGAATTCGACCTCAAATTTGTGTAAAGTGTGTTGGGGTTCGTATTCGACCCTAAGTCGGTGTAGAATGGATCATGCCGAGGTTCAGACTTGACCTCAGACGTTCGTATTGAAGGTTCGTTCTCGACCTCGAATTTATAAACCAGAACAGCCCGTTCTGGGCACATATTACATGTACAAAAGCCTCTCCCAGAATGACCCGTTCCAAAAACAGAACGGCCCGTTCTGAGTCAATACCTTGTTCTTTAAAATCACATCCAGAACGGCCCGTTCCCAAAGTGGAACGGCCCGTTCTGAGTTGAAATTTTACCCATGCATGCTTGAGTTGGAACGGCCCGTTCCCAAAGTGGAACGGCCCGTTCCGGAGTTATGAAAATCCAAAATTGCTAATTAATAAATAAATAAATAACATACATATATATATATATATATATATATCAAATTAAAATAAAATATCAATACAATTTAAAACATGATTTTCTTCAAATAATAATTATAACAAAATATCATAATTAATAATATTGAACAAAATAATTTTCATAAATTATTATTATTAAAAACCTTTAAAAAATTAATCAAACCCATTTAATTAATCGAAATAATTATAAGGAAATAATCTTCATAAGTACAAAAATAAATAATAATTATTCGTAGTATTAGTAGAAAAATTCGGGGTGTTACATACTTGACTACAAAGAATATAATTTTTTGGAAGGTGCACTATTTTTTTGATGGTGAAGAGCACAACGCATAATAGGAAATGACTAGCACTGCGAAAAAGATTGGTAGTATAAGAGACCAAAGAAACTTAAAGAATGGAGGATTGCGAAGAAAGAAAAACTTTTAAATTTTTTAAAAATAGATCTTAAATTACCATATTATTCTCATCATAAATTAACTAAAACAAAATGAAAGGATGAGCTTTTTGTCCTGAAATTTTGGTGCAGGGTGCTACTATAAAAGAAGTGTGAGTACTATAAACCTTAAATCCTAAACCTCATATATATATATATATATATATATATATATATATATATTAATTTGTACATTCTTTGATTCCATACAACATGTAATAATTTAACAAGTATATTCAATGATGTTTGCATGAAATGCATTATTATCCTAACTCCACTCTATATGCCATGTGGTACCAATTCTAACTCGTGAAATAGCATAAAAGCATACTTGTTTGCCCACAAAAAGTGTCATTGATGTTTGATACCTTCGATATAGATTTCAATGCCTTAGAATGATATCCACTCGGTGAATAATTAGGGTTACCCAACTTTGCTAATACGCCTTGGTCCTATGGGATCAAAATAGGACATTGGAGTTTTCACACCAAGTCATTGAAAGTCTCAAGATTCAATCCTATTGTGACCACCATCTAACTAATGTCTATTTCACCCTAACTCAATAACTCAATGCAAAATGATGCATGATTCATATCCATCACAAACAAGTCCCATTTGACTCAACATACATGTGAGCCTATCATTGCCCTTCGCTAGTTAAGCAAGACACTATTGAAACATCACATGAGCCCATTCTCACCATCTCATATGCTAGGTCAATTGTCTCAATGACATGTGGTCTCTTTATATATCTCGTAGCATAAAGTACACTAGGCATGCTCATATATAATAGAACAATATTCTCAAACACAAAGTTATGCAATATAATCTTAACAATAAACAATCTTAAAAATATTGTCCAAAATCATTTGAGCTATTATTAAATTTTTACTTAGCGGAGTAGACTTCTTCAACTAATTTTCCTTTTCTTTTTTGAATAATATATTAAACTACAATAATGTTTAACTTGTGAAAGGTAATAATAGACTCATAAGTATGTTGTAAGGAGTCAAGTGGGACTTGTTTTGTGATGGATATGAGTCATGCATCATCCACAAATAGGGGTGGGTAGATGGACCCGGGTCTGGGCACCAGTCCGTAAGCCCGCGAATTTTGCGAATAACGGACCCTTTTTTTTCAAATCTGTATGACTATGTTTAATTTTTGAGTCCGGCCCATTAAGTCTGCGGACTTGGCGGATTTAATCCGCGAGCTAGTTCGCGGACTTTACTAATTAATATTTTTAAATATTACGATTTTAATATTAAGTTGTGTATTTAATTTTTTAAATTATTATGATATTAAAATTATGTTTAGTTGGTATGTATTTGTCATTTGAATTATTTTTATGATATTTTGATGCTTTTATTATTGAAAGTTTGGTACTATTACTTAAATATTTGTAATTATTTTTTATTTTAATATTTAGTATTTTAAACCATTTTAACTATTGATAAATTTTAGTATGATAAAATTGAGCTTATAAATAAAAAAAATATATTTTCTTTCTTCTAATTTTATGTATTTTTATTTTTTAAAAATTTATTTTTTTGAACCATTATTTAGGCCCGCAGACCGGTCCGTTATATCAACGAATTTTGGCGGGCCAGATACGGACTTAAAAAATAAGTCCATTTATTTTACCGACCAGACTTGTTTGGCTCGTATAAGACGCGGGTTTTATGGGCCGGGCCTTAAACGGGCCGGACCGGTCTGTATACCCACCCCTATCCACAAATAACATATTAAATATTAAAAATATAAAATAACATGACACAAACAATGACAATATAAAATATTGGCATCTAGATTAAAAATAAATCACCATTTTTTAAATATATAGTTTCATATTTTAGTACATATAGTGCATGTGATTATATACTATAATATTGACATTTTTTTATTAAAGAAATCTCATTTTTTCATAAACTAAAATAGGGCAAATCATAATCACCAATGTATTTGATTACCCAACCAACCTAAGTTATCTTTGAAATGAATTGTATTAATAAAAGTGAAATAAGGCCTAAAATTTATAGAATTTTTGTTGGTAAAAAAATATTTTTCGTCTCTTATATTATTTATTAGTTTCAATTTAGTCTCACTTTAATTAATTGAATAAAATTAGTCCCACATCTTAAAAATGTATCTCAATGTTTGATCTTCCGTTTCTTCCGTTTAAATATTTAACATATTTGACATGTGTCATGACATGTGTCATGCTACCATACCACGTGTCATGTCATAATGCCACGTGTCATGATGTCATGCCACACGTGGTATAATAACATGACACGTGGCATAACATGTGTCACATTCGTTAAGTATTTAAACGGAGGAAACGGAAGATCAAACATTGAGATAAGTTTTAAAGATGTGGGACTAAATTGATTCAATTAATTAAAGTGGGACTAAATTAACACTAATAAATAATATAAGGGACGAAAAATATATTTTTGCCAATTTTTGTTCATTTTTTTCCTAATATGTGGCATAGGAGATTAATTCTATAAACATAGGTCGAAGTCCTATAATATTAACTCAATCCCAAAATCATATGCCCTACCAAAATCCCTACAATATATTTTTTTCTTATTGTCACACATAAAAAAGTAATGTCATCAACATGAAAGTTTGCACCCTCTCCTAACACTTAACTCTTTAAATTTTTCAACTTTTCTTGAATTGCCTCCTTAGTTTTATCGACAGAGTAAATAATATTTTTTTGGCAGAAGGAACACTATATTCCCTTTTAGTAAATGAAAAATTCCAACACAATATTTGCATTATCTTTGTTTGTTAGCATTAACAAACGAACATTAATCAAAACAAATTAGGAAAAAAATTTGACAACACAAACACTTTTTTGTGGTAAAAAGATTTCTCAAAAGTGTTACCTTCCATTGGTCCCACTCAACCCTATGCGTTTTGCACCAATCTAAATTAGGTTTAACCATGATTTTTAGGAGGTTGAACACAATGCTAAGCTTCAAGACTGTTATATCCTCTTTACCTTCACATTGCTAAACTTCAAGATTGTTATATCCTCTTTGGCTAAATTCCTTTTTATTTCAATTGTTGTTCTTATTAATTATTCATTGATTTAAACTTTTATCTCTATTTGACTCTTTAACTTTTGATTTGTCTTCATTAAAACTCAATTGACTTTTAGATTTATCCTTATTAAAGTTTTATTTAAACTTAAAGTTCAGCACAATCCTCTATCATTAACAATAAGGAGTGAAACCCCAACCTTTTATGATATTTCTCTCCACACCATAAAAACAATAATTTGGTTTGGTAACTCACTCAATCAACTTTTAATTAAAATTTTAAATACAATTATAATATATGGCCAAGAAAATAAAGAAGAAACAATCCAATAAAAAAGGAAATTAAGTCAAAGCAAGTTATTATTAAAAAACCAACATGCAATACTTGATAAGTTACTAGTGATAAACCACTTGCCCCTCAACTTTTTAAATGAATTTGAAATTTGGTTTGCTCTTTTGTTGTAGCTACAAGCCACCACCAATCTCAACTCAAGCTCCCCAAATTAGAAGATGACAGGGTACAAAAGAAAAAGAAGAAAAATGTAAGCATGACAAAATGAAAATACAAAGGAAGGGGCTTTATTGTCGAATATCACTTTGATGATAGTAACATTTATAATTTAAACTAATACAAATAGTGATTTTTTTTATAATAATTTTACATAGTCAAATTTTGATTATGTAATTGCATTAGAATACCTAAAACTAACAACTTTACTTGTCAATTAAAGATAGAAACTTAAAAAATGATTTAAATATATTTTTAATATTTTAAATTTAGAATAAATTTGTTTTAGGTCATCATATACAAAATTAATTTTTTAGTCATATAATTTTTAAATATCGTATTTTAGTTTCTTATAACCAACAGTAGCATCACAAATAGGGACAAATTGAGTTTGATACGATGTTTTCACTGAGGGGATGTTTAGTATGCAGAATGCTTTTACTCTCTCAAAAATCTTAAATAAAGAATATTAGATTTCTCATGTTTGATAGCTATTTAAAAGAAAAGATTCCTTGGAACCAATTTTATCCCACTTTCCCACAAAAATTTTCCCATGGAGGTGAGACTGAAAATTCAACTTTCTTGAGTTAGGAAAGAAAGTTTTATGTATGT